ATCCGTATTCGCATAGATAGTACAAAACGAAACCTTTAGTACGGGGATTAAATTGATCCGACATTCGACATTCGCGTCACCACTCAGAACAGCCAATGTCCCACAGGTGGTTAAATAACGCCAAACCTCCGACAAATGTGTACGCGTGGGCGGCGATTACTTCGCCCGATGGTATTCAAGAACAACGATTCCGGGTAATCATACCGGCACGCGCGTTCTATTTTGCAATTCCATGCCATCACGTCGATGCAGCTTATTAAAAGTCCGTGCGTCTCGTGCGTACTACGCGCCCATTTTCGACCGGAGCCTTGCGCGGGCGATCGCGCGTAATGCATATGTATATATATATATTATGTATATATGTATATGTATTGCACCGGCACAACAGACCTGTTCCAATATCCAAGGTAATTGTACTCAAGCGTGCTAATGATTGCTACACGAGCGCAATCGCAGTAAACCGAACCGAAGAAGGAACAGAGAGAAAAAGAAAAAGAGGAGCCGTTGAGTACGGGCCCAGCGGAGAGAGAAGGCATTGCATTGTAAACTCTATGACCGACTTTACGAACGATCGGCTAGGATGCAGTGCCCCCACCGGCCGGTCGGCGTAACTAACCGCCATGTTGTTTCCAAACCCCAAAATCAAGCTTGTAGCGCACTTCACATAAGGAGAAAGGTGAAGTGATCGTTGCCTTCACAATTATGTCATAACTTTGCCCCCCCCCCTCCTACTCCCGCGATTTTGCAGAAAAAGGAAATTCGACTTACACAACCGGTAACATTGTAATTTACCGGTTTCGAGGTTATGATACGAATGAAACTTATTCCTACTAATTATTATGGAGAGAAAAAGAAACGTTTCAAAAGGAATTTAACGTTAATTGGAATCCCCCGGTATCAGATGTATACGTTCTGTCTCATGAATATTCGATTTTTATTGAATGGGGGTCGATGTCAAGCAAACGCCCATATTCTCTACCGACCTTCCTAATGCAGCAGGGGCACACCATTTATCTGTTACGCTAGAGATTGTAAGTTATCGTTGGAAATTGTGTGGTATACTATATCCCCGTACCTAGAATAAATTCATACATTAAGATAAAAAAAAAGTCTCTAACGAGAGCAGGCATTGTTTCGTTCTGTTGGTTATGTTATTCTGTTGTCGATAAAGACTGCGTGTGCATACACACGCAAAACGGTTGATTGGGAAAATTATGACGATAAACAAACAAACAAAAAAAAAGAATATATTAATTTCCAACGTACTGTTGGCCGCAACGTACGAGACTCGCGTATCCTGTTATTACATCGCTTCCAGTTTCTACTCGCTAGCGGCGAGTAGTACACGCACGCACACACACACACGGTGTGGGATATACGGACGCCACACATCTGGTCCGTGGCTACATACAAGCTAATACTTATGCAGAGTGGCCATCCGTGATCCATCTTGCGTAACCTATTTACCCCGGGCGAAGTGGTACTCGCGCGGCGGGCGAACACACATATGACATAATCCCCCGTGCAACAGAACACGCACTGTAGATTCCGGCCTGTTCGGGATACCTATTTTAAATAGCCCAGTGCCGGTGTCCGAGCATGCGCAGAACTTCAACGCGGCGCGTCGCATGCTGCTGACGGCCGGCCGAGGAGGCGTTACGCAAATGAAAACTACGACACCAGGAAAAACTAACACGGTTTCCCGACGGATAAATGGTACAGGCATCCTCGAAATACACAAAAAAAACCTGTGCGCTTATAAAAAAGGATTCATCGATTTTCAAATACAAAAATCAGCCATTGACATATTACTACAAAACTTTATCACAGAGCCTTCGATTATTAATTTGTACCGTGACGTTCCTTCCGAGTTCGTAACCTCGAACGGGAGGGGGGAGAGAGCGAGGAGGAGGAGAGATAGAGAAAGATTGGCCACCTGCTGCCACACAGAGTGCAAGCAGCAACCAGTGCAATGAATTATACGTTGGATATCATCGTGCTGTCGACAGCTGTTGGATGGACGCGCCCGTGTGCGCGCGCGCTTGCCGGTCTTTCTGAACGAGAAATTAAACATATACAACCGTGTCCCCGGGGCGAACTACTGCTCGTTCTCTCTGTGGTGAAGCGAAAAGGAAAGCGAATCGAAGATAAGGACGTATTTACCGGAAATGCCAGTAGCAGAAAGATAACACGAGGGGGATTGCGCGTGTACGAAGAAACATCCGCGAGACCTACGTCATCAACTTGGAGGGGGGGGGGGAAGCCCAGCACGCGTACACACGAGGGGAAACTTGTTTACATCGCGTGAATACGATGCTTCTTCCTCTTCATACGTATATGTGTACACTTCTATGTGCGTATATATGTACATAGTCAGGGGCTAGTTAGGTTCGGTCGGTCACAGTTGCTGCCGGGATATCTATCTTTGGATTCACTCACGACGCGCGGCCGCGCAGGATCTCTTACTCAATCGTCTCACGCCCGTGCCGGTGACCAGTGTGACACCGTTAAACGCGGCCATTACTTCGAATGCGCCCCGCGCGGGTCGGATATTTCCGTGGTGACCGTAGATAGAGCCCGATGGTGGATCCCACTTAACGGCAAAACACACTCCTATCGTGGAACACATTACCCAGCGTACACAATAAATGTTGTTACCTTTTCGCCCCCCCCCTCCTACAAGTGAAGCTACTGCTCGCGTCAGTGGCTCTCAACTTTCTCCAAACAGTCACGTGACACACACACGCGCCAGTGATCAAGAGAGCAATTGTGATAAAAGGAAAGGACCGTTTGTAAAGTACTCTTGATTTCCTTAACGGTATCGCTTTCGTGAAACACGAAGAAAAAAGGAATTCTGTTCGTAATTCATCGTCGAAAATCCACCCCCAACACGGGTGTCGAATTGCAAAAGGGGAGTCGCCAGGAATGAGTTTTGCATACAAAATTTAGAAACGTTGGCCCCGTGTAACGCGAACTATGTCGACGGCCTAGGCGCGCGTCACCTACACGTGAGCTTGAAAATTACTACACGGCGGCGTGTGTGTCTCCGCGGTATGCACAACAGATAAACACCCTGTCAAGTATTTACCGATTTTACGCCTCGTGACCTTCCGACGTCACTGAAAGTTTCCTCCGTATGACTGCAACTGCATACACATGTGTAAACCGGTACTGACGCGTGACACTGCTTGCGTCAGTGTGTACTGTATCGATGCATTATTTGTGATGGCCTGTCATTAAAGGTTATGGACGAGCACGGAGCAACAGTAAAATTCCAGCAGAACTAAATTCTGTATAGTGATTGAAACGGAAGACGTATTTCCCGACATGTATACACATTGCGCTGACAATGAATACCAAATAGTAGTCTATGAAAAAAAATATAAAGGATCAGGATAATGTCCTGGCACAAACATGGTGCAAATGGCCGCGATCGTTGACTGACCGTAAAAATATCGGAACCGGACACTTCTCTCGGTTTGACCAGATCCGGTTAATTTTTCCTCGACCGAGGCAAGCGAGCAAGCGAACGGCAGCAAAGTTTCCACGAAATGGAACCGTGGTCACGCCTGAGCTACCTAACGGAGGTAGGAAAGATATTGCTCTAATGCGTTCCACGTGGGGTCACCGGTAGCCGGTGCATTGGCCAAGTACCACCCGTACACACTTGGTTTCCACCATAAACCGAGACAGCTCACCAATGTGAACACGCAAAGCCACCGGCTTACGGATAACGCGCTCGCCAGTGCCTCTCATTACGAATCTAACCGCGCCCACATAGCGGTATATCGTGGCGCTGCGTGTATATTTCTTCGCCACGCCTGACAGACCGTACCCCGCCTATCTTTCGCTTTATAGGGTATTTATGCTTTCGGTGTGCTCGCTACAATTTTCCACAAATCGGCAAAACATTCGCAAATGTTAATAAATCCCTAACTGTAACTGGAGAAAGACGTGTCGAAAATCGACAGGTTAGCATCGGCTTGTGTGTGTGTAGCGCGTGTGACTCCAATGTCACAGCACAGATGCACTCACACATACACAGAGCGCGTGCATTTCCTTCTGTTAACCCATTCGTTGACCTGTTGTTCATCCACACGACGAACAATATACCTCTCCCCTTCCTTCCCACAATCATCCCTATCTGTCCTTTTCGCTCTCGAATATTCTCGACGGTTGTGGGATCACCGCCACTGGAGAAAGAGACAGATTCGATTGCCCCCGCCGCTATACGCGTGTGGCATATATGTATACATAGTCATGCCCCACGGTCGTATCCAGATGCAACGTCGCAAGGTAACACGTTTGCCCCTTCCCAACCATCTCTATCCCGACCGAAGCAGAGGGAGCCTATCTCGCTCATGCTGTATGCGCGTGGACGCTCAGCCTGTCATCGCCGGATTCTTTTCGGTCTAGCCCCGTAGATACAGATAGAGCATACAGCCTACACACAAATAAATGAAAAAACTCATCCCTGCTTACTACATGAACACGCGACAAATTCGTTGAGCATGTCATCAATATACTAGTGTTACCGGCGCGAGAACGCGTTTCCCCGCTCTGAAAAGTAGCCATTCGTTCGTCGGTCATGCCGATCAGAGGAACGTACCCTTCTGCGCAGGCGTGCGAGCTGCGTCGGATGCGCGTTTAACCTGCTTGAATGCAACGGACCCGGCGGGCGTACGGATGGATGTGTATATAAAATCGTACTCCTATTCCTGAAACTATTGTCCTTTTTCTTTCGGGAAAGGACTCGTCGACTTGCAAACGAAAAATAAGTTATGCGTCTCCTGTTATTTCCGGCGGTTCGATTATGGCGAACACAATCGAAATATATACCATATCAACAAAAAACTTAAATTAAAGCTGACGTTTCGTATCACCGTTCATAATTTTCTTTACGTTTAAGATTTTTTCACACTAAATTTAGTACCAGTCATTTCGTCCCTATCCCTACGTCATATGGAGAAAGCAAAAAAAAAACTAGACTTCGTACTCACCTCTTGTCCACTCGGTGCTATCACGACATCCACCTCGTCGAGATGTTCACGGTGTTGGGTGACCTCCGCGTGAATTTCCCGGCCGTTGTACGTCAGAAAAACTTTTTGTCCCGGCACGAGACGCGCGCTGGTCACAGAACCGAAACCCGGTCCGATCAGATCGCGATCGGAGTACTCGGTGCTCGGGCTCGGCGGACGACCACCCGGAACGGAATCGAACCGCACCGAGTAACGAGTCTTCGGTGTAATACTGAGTCCCGACTCGGCGGCGGCTGACGCCGGCGTTTTCACAGCGTGTATGACGCCGCTATAGTACTTCCCGTCGTCGCCGGGAGCACAAACTCTGGTGCCGATTATGCTACGTTTCGCCAACCTCTTTCCCGTCGACATTATTCGCGGCTACTGCACGTAAACGATCTCTCGTTGATCACCCCAGCGAAAAATCGATATATATCGTTCGAGAACCTGTCACCACAGCCGGATCTTCACGGAACACCGTGACGTACTGTGTTTTCGTATGTGTCGTCAGCTGAACGGTCTCTTGGGAATCTCATTTGCACTGATTTCTTGTCGCACTGTATATCTTCACCAGTTTTCCACAACGAACAACACACTATTTATATGAAATATCGGTTAAATCACTTCGTCGTTGCGAGGGAGGGAAATCGTACACGCGCGATCCAACAGAGTTCGAATAGTAGCGAGATACGATGACGCCGGATCGATATTGTACTCAATGAAGCGATGGTTCAACATTCGAAAAATACACTCCCGAAAAAACTGTAAAACACCAGACGACACCGCGTGTCGCTTCGATTTTCTTTTTTTAACTACTCAACCCGAACTCTCCACCCGTGGGTGTGTGTATACCATGGGACACACTGGTCGCTTTAGGTCATCGTTCCACCCGATAACACGTCGTATACAATCCAATCGGCAGTTTTACATTAAATCGCGATTGCAGCAATCGGATTCCCCTTAGACCGTGGAAGGACGCGGCGGCCTTCGCGGCCTGAACACAGAACTCAATGTATCAACAAAACGGCGTGCACCGTTGCCTGCGTTTGTCACGCCGTCCGCATGTTCGAGGCACTTCGTGATCGATTCGTGATGATACGTCGATGTGCACGCGGTAGATAGCATAATATATAACTGACGATCGCCGGTAAATTGAAATCCGGCACCTTGCTGTAACCTGAACGGACGATCGACGGTACACGACAATACGACGGTATACGAGCAGAAGTCAGGCTCGCGGTTCCCGACATGTGACGCACAGCTGAGCGACCGGGGAGAACTGAGGATAGACTTCCAAACGGCTTTCACTGCGCCGGCCGGCCACCCGCCCGCCCGGGAAAAACAGCTGATAGATAACAACAAACCCACGTGACCCGGCCTCGAGCGCCGATTGGACGCGCGCAGTGACCTACTTACTCTCATTGGCCGTCCGCCCGGAGAACGAGAAGAACGGGAAAAAATCGCAGGCTAGAACCCTAGCCAAAGCACTCGGTTCGACGAGACCCTCCACTTTCTCAGCCCTCTCCACTTTTCGTACGGCTGTACTCGGCGTCCCTTCTGGTGTCCCTCTCTTTTCCACTGTTTCTATAAAATGAGCGAGCTTGTACACAAAGCCCGTATGAAGTCACACGTAAATCCCCCGCATTGTTACCGGCGGATCGACCGTCGATAATCAGCCGGCAAGCAAGAATTTCCGTGAGGTTTTTCATACACCGAATCTTTTGTAATCAGCTGGTGGTAGTGTTAAATACCGAAGCGAAGATAGTCATTTTATCATCAGCTGAGGATCTCTGTGACGAAATTCACGAGGAATCAGTCTAACCCGTCATGTATATAAAGCCTCCGGTCAAAGAAACCTCGCTTCGTAAGACATTCCTACTGTCACTCGAATACCATACTGTGTATTACTTTTTCATGAAATACTATCAATTTTACCAGAATTTTAACCTCGATTGGTAGCCGTGTCTGTACCGAAAAGTTGTACAAGCATTTCCTGATAAGAAAATACGTTTTAACAGAGAAAACTCGTGTTTATGGTGCAGCTGTCAGTGGTAGGCGGCCATTTTACGTCAGCTGAGAAGGTCGGTGACGACACATGCCGAGTGAAATATCTTCCGTACGACGCACAAGCATCGGGAATGTGTCGCAAAGACACTTCACCTTCGAAGTTATTTCCAAGGCTTGTCACTGCACCGCGAGGAATGCAAGAGTTTTATTTATTTAGAAAATAACCGCGGATCGCTTGCAAAACAAACCAGAAACGAATTAAATACAAGTTTCCTGTTTTCCTATTTTCAACCGGTTGGTTAGTTTATTTTCGGGTGTGTGATGAATCGTAAAATTTTCAATGTAACGTTTCATACGTAAGGACATCGAATTTAACGCTTTGTGTCAGCTGAGGGCGCCAGTGACGAAACATGGCCGAGTGGAGTGTCTTCGGGAGCAAAGATTCACTTTCTTAACCGATGCGTAGTATCGTGCTTTCGAAAACTGGTGCATGACCATGATTGTTTGTCCATTTATGTTTGATGATTTCCCTGAAGAACATGGGACGCCATGAATTAGGGTATTAGAGAATGAAATGCTGTCTTGGCCCGAGAACTCTGTTCTACCGATAAATCGATCCGATGCGGCAGCGGCGGTGTGTCGGCGAAGGTGAGGCAGTTACAATACTATACCGTATGCTCGTCATGGCGGCGTGGAGGACGAGCAATGAAAATGGCCGGAAGATGCAACTGGGGAGAAGGGGAGAGATGGTAAGGCCGAATAGAAGGCAACGGTCCACGCGTTCTCAGCAGCCTATCCTAGATTTATTTCCGTGGATGTTGCGCAATAAAACACGCCTCGCTCTGTGTTAGCTCACTGAATGCTACCCCTCGCCTGGCTTCGAAGAGGTGCCAAGGGCTAGTGAGTAACGTTTAATTGTCGCCGGTTACCATTCGTCCTCATCGAATAAAGGAACGCGATTATGCCCCGGTGTGTGCATTGTAATGTTATTTCTCGCTGTCACTGTAATAGGGCCTTAGTCATTTTCATTGCATTAACGCGGCCGTTTAACGCTAAACACGCCTCGGGTTCCCTTGAATACAATCTACACGCGAAGAATGTTAAAACAAGATTTATTAAAAGCCTTCATTCTTTCTTTTTCTGTGACTATATTTCTATAACACACTTGGGTATAACTTTTTGACTATTAAAAGTGAGACCTGTAAATCATCGACATACGTATATTCAGTCACATAATGAATAATTTTCAATTATGTAAATTTAAGTAAATGTCACAGTTATGATAATAAATATTTTAAATGATAGTTAATTTTGAAAGATAAATTGGAAAAACAATTTTACCTGCTTTGTACACAATTAAATTGAGAGACACAATATTGAATTCAATGAAAGAAGGGACGCACGAAATACCGGATGTAATGCAATTAGTCATCGTGTACCGATATAATAAAATGTTCCGTTTCAAGCGAGGTCAATCCCAAAATTGAAACTTTTTCCTATTGTGCATCAGCATTGGTTCTTACGGACGGAATTTATCGCGGTCATCGGTTTTGGTCTGCGGTAAGGTTGTTTTTCAAAGAATCTATACCTCTGTTTATGATACTCCATTGTTCCTGTTCACAAAGCGTGTCAGTCATTTTAAAGAAATCGCTACGAAACGTTCGACAAATAATGTCTATTTCCTAACTGTACTTTCCTTTGTGTCTTCTTTAAAGGGCCTTGTTTACCCCATGAAATTCCCGAAAATCCTTTGAGTATGTATGCGAAACTGCCAAAATAAAATCATAGGGACAAACATTTCGTAGTAAATAACATTTTCTCCGTGGAGGTTTCTTCCCGATTATCTTGCATGATTCAGGGAAACACGTTCTTTTATACATTGCTGGAAAAGAAGGAACAGTGAGAAAAGCATCGAGACACTACACACAGGCAACGTATCTCGATCATGTTAACACATCTACAGGACGTATACACATTCGGCGTGTTATAAGATAAGATTAAGTTAGAGGGGGCAATCGCGAGCCTCGTGAAAACGCAACAGGCCCTATCAGAAGTGAATTCGCTGCGTTGGAAACGTTCGTTGAGGTGTAACCAGTACAAACTTAATTTCTGTGACGATTATCCGAATTCTTCGACACCATGACCGATGGTAGCACCATTGGTTTGGTTGTGTCACTCGTTCTAAACGTCGTCGGTATTATTGTTTCGTCGGCCCAGTTCAGTGAAATGTGTTCCTCACTTTGCGTATGTGACACTTGGTACGAGCTGAAGCGTGCTTCTTGCACAGGTCGCCATCTTTACAGCATAGATGCAGGTACGCCAAACAGTGTGCAAGCGTTGGACTTGTCGGATAATGTCGTATCTTCTCTGAACAATTTCGAGCTGGCGGTTAGTATTTTTCAAATAAATTGGTACATATATATTCTTTTGAACTATGATCTGCTATAATTTCGAAAACATATATTTTAAAGGTTGTTTTATATTTTAGATATGTGCGTGTATGCGTAAATTTCTTTTTTAGAATGCAGGTCTGACAAGATTAAAGTATCTTAATCTATCGACGAATACAATCAGTGAGGTTGATTTGAATGCTTTCCACGGACTTGCTGAATTAACCGTTTTAGATTTGTCAAAGAATCATTTATATTCTATTCCGGACGACGCCTTCGTAGAAAATACGAATTTACGAATTTTAAAGTTGTCCAGAAATAACTTCAATGCCCATGTGCCGAAATTACGGTCGCCTTCGCTTGCGGTAATAATGAAAAATTATTCCTACTCATTATTTATCGATATCCATTGATCGAAAAATTTATTTTCAAACACTGTTGTCTTTTAACATTACGATAGAAATTTCTCTGTAGGAGCTGAGCTTGGATTCATGTCAGATTAGTCATTTACCTCCAGACACGTTCAATGGACTCATACGTGTCCGTCATCTCGATCTTTCGAACAATATGATGATTCAGATGAGCGGCGCTATCGTGCAGACACTGCCTTTTTTGAAGGAGTTATCGTTAGAAGGGTACGATAGAAGGAATACATATGTGCAATAGTGCAAATTCGCTAAACCAATTTATTCGAATAAAAATTTTAATTTTCTTGGGAATTGTTTTACCATATGTAGATACGCAAGCATCATTGACACAAGTGTACAAAAGCGGAGTTTAATGTTTCTTTTTTTGCAGAAATCCATGGTTTTGCAACAGAATTATGAATGATTTCCACGTGTATCTTGTACACAAAGGTATAGAATTCCATAAAGTTTGCGGTAAGAACAGTCCAAAGAAATTTGAAAAGATAATTCTTGCACCTGTAAAAAAGCAACCGAATTACCATCGCTCGGCAATTGCGAATGCAACGATTGTGAAGACTACATCGATAATCAAGTGCAATGTTACGAGTCACTCGAACAATAAGAATCAATCGACAGACGGTGCAACGATGCAACAAAAGCGTATTATGAATTCGTATACGTTTCTTGTTGTCGGTTTTCTACTAGGTGTCGCAACTGGAATGATTATTTCTTACATGTGGCTGTCGGGAAAATATATATGTAGCCAATGTTGGAGACGTGAGAATAATGATCGTTCCCAAAGACTCTCTCTCTTGTCGAATCCATATTTACAAAATAATATCGACAGCAATACAAGTCTAACAGGATCTTGTCCCGGTACTCCTCCACCAGCCTATCGGGAAGTTATGCTCCGACCGAGCCTTTATCATTGCCTGTCGAGGACATCAAATTTAAATAACAATAGTACAGAATCGAGAGGGAGATACGCGTAACTTGAGATGATAATTTATTGTTGAAGCGTGACAGGGACAAGATACGCACACACAACGCACTCTAGACTTTGGTAACACTTTGACTGCCCTAAGTTTTATCGTTCGGACAATATATGGTGATAGAATACTTCTGTTGAAGTTTTGTTCTATTAACACTTACTACTATTAATTATATGTACAAAATAGTAAATGTTTTTACTTAGAAATAGAACGTTTTTCGTGTAATTTAATAGCACTATTCACTGGTGAACACGATGGCAGTCAACGTGGTAGACCTTCCAATTCCAGTATTTTATACGTTACATGTTCATGCCAAGCTTTCTTTATAAGAACACACGCACACACATGAAATAATTAATTCCATATTAATAATCGTTATCAATCATTGAACACCAATAAAAATTCACAGAATTTCTTTGGTAGAAGTAATTAAACGTTAGTGAATTAATTGATAGTTCGAAATATTTCATAAATCATGAACATTATCAAACAAGATTTATTAACACAAACAATATGTAAGAATCGTACAACATAATGTAAAAATATAAGATTACGATATATAATCTAGGCCTAGGCTATACCGTTTTTTGTTATTTATATTACAGTATATTACATGCATATATAACAATGAGTGATATTAAGTCTTTTAATAAATTGCATCACGACAGAAATTTGTATTATGTTCACAGCTTGTCATATGGTAATTCTGTTTTGTACACAACAATTTAAGCACAATCATTATGATTGTTCGTCGGGTCATTGCGTAGCAATCATATTACTTTTATCTACATTTTGGCTCGTACTTAACGTAACAGTCTTGCAACCGATGGCAGCTATTATTCTTTCTGTTGCTTCATAGTCGTATCTTGTACCGCGTAGATTAGTTATCACGCTAACGTCTTGGTTGAAGTCATTTGATACCAAGCCAGTTGGAAGTCTCATTTTGATTTCCTCGATGATACCATTTTGTATTTCTAACGTTAGATTAAATCGATGGAGTTTGCCGTCTTGGGCGACAAGATCCAGTACCCTGGTCACTGTGAACTTCGGTGTTTTTCCATAGTTCCATTCCCAAGAGCGAAACTCGTTTATCAATTTGTCAAGTCCTGGTAACAGAATTATTTTTCAGTAATCTTCTTGGGATTCCACAAGACAATATGAACACAGATTGCATATCTCTTGTACATAAAATAGATACATAATAAGTAATTATAACTTTTGAAGTTACATGCCTGGAAACCAATCTTCGGTTGGATTGATGTACTGAAATCCTTTTTGACACTGAATGAAATCTTGTCCACCATCTTCTAAAACTAATGCTTTCGTACGAAGATATTCCCAGCCAACTGCATTGATAAGTTTATTCATGCATATGTGCGAATTCACATCTATTAAATTTTTCACTGGAGACCGGGTGGATGAAGTCGCGTTAGTTTCTATGCCATCCTGTAATATAATAAATAAGTATAAATTTTCCAATTCATATTTGGAGCAAAAACAGAAAAATGATTTTTTTCTATTGTCTCGTATTCACCCAGATTTAACAACTGTTTTATATCGTAATTATCTCTCACGAGACTTCATACATATTCGTTGCTTTATTGCGCTTACTTCGATAGACTTTGTACAGAAAATGCAGCGATAATCACTGGAAAAATGCTCACCTCTTTTCTTTCGAGCGTTAAGCTTAAAGCCGATTTGTTTACATTGACCAATAGCGTGCAGTGATGATATGCATTCGGCCGTCCTAATTTTGCCGCTGTACCGGATACCTATGTACGTTTCAAGAAAGTTAAGGAAACGAATTCTATATTTGTGAAGCGATGTAGCTTCACTATTCAAGGGGTTGTTCCAATTTTCTACAGAATTTATAAAATTTCATAAAGTCTCTTAAGAGTGTTTTGATAACGGTATGTAAAAATATATTAATGCGTCAGATTAATATACAAACATGTAAACGATTTTCGTTATCTTGCGAAGACGCACCTCAAATGTAAAAATATAATGGGATATCACTATTTGGACCAATTATACTCGTATCATATAGTTCAGAACGATGAACTTTTATTTAATACTTGTTTATCGTTCTGTTAATGATACGGACAGCTTTCACTTATTTAACAGGTATTCTTGGAACAGCCTGTACAGTTTCATAAATACATTACATTAAAGGATTCTTTGTATTCGCCTTCAACAACGATGTCCTCGCGTTTATTAATGTCAGCTTTAACGCCCCATTCTCGGTACAGCGCTCTCGTTATGATGCCCAAATTATATTTACGATCGTATCGTTCCCGCGGCGTGAAGAACGACAAATTCAAGTTACCATTATCATGGTAGACGGTGCCTCCGCCACTGTTCCGTCGTACCAGTACGATACCACGTTTTTCAGCTAGCTGAGCGTTATGCTCGATCCATGGGTTTTGATGACGTCCAATCACCACGCAGGGATCGTTACGCCACAGAAGTAGCACGTGATGACGCGCGAAGTTGTAATTCCGGTACAACCAATCTTCTAGCGCTAAATTGATGAACACATCCGTGGATTGCGATATAAATACTGACTTCTTAATCGAATTGTTCAGCTCGTCCTGCTTCCCACTGAAACTTGTCGAGAAGTATCTACACACTCGGCCGAAATTGCCGTGGTAAGCTCCACGCTTCATAACGAGCAGAGCTCTATCGATCAAAGACATGTTTTTTTTGTTCTTATCGTGGTCAAATGATTCAAGTTTCTCTGTTCGTCTTCTTGCTCGCACGCTCTCTTGTACGGACGAATCGAGATTAAAATAATGTGAATACGGTTGTTTAAGGTGTGCACCGATACGAAAAACTGTATGCACTCCCTGGAAGAGATCTTGACTCGATGAAATCAGTCTTTAACTAATAAATCTGTGAACGGTAATTCGTTTTTTTCTTGTTTGCTACTTGCTTCTTACGTGTAGCGAAATTCAGCCTTGATTTCGGTTAATATTTTTGTCTGCAGATAGCAGCCCTACTGACAGACTTTACCCGAGACGTTGGATTGAGTGGCAGTGATGGAGATCAAGTAATCGTGAAGGGCGATTGTTTGGTGTAACCACTTCCAGGTCTGATCCAGGGAGTTGATACGGTATCGGAGACCCAAACAGTCTCGGCAGTCCTTTTGCATTCCTCCGTGTGCTGACAGTTTGTAAAGGAACATTCAAATTTACCCGCGACAAACGATTCACACGGCTGTTTTTTTTTGTATATAACGACCTCTTTCTGTCAGATCCGTAGATATATAACTTTCACAAGACTACACGCAGCCTTTCTTCACTTTACGGTCGGAGCACTCGATGTTCCGTGGACGCACAGTTATTGAACGCAAGCCTAAAATTCGTCAACGCTCTCTCCAATTGCAATGAATAGTTAGGCGTACGATTTTGATATTATATGAACTCCGTGTGCACGAAGAAAGTAGAGGGGAGCCTTTAAGAGACACACACAAGAGGTTATCTAAGTTCGCAGCACAAAGTACAGCTGACCCGCGCGTGATATCCTCGCCGACGCACTCTCTTTGCCCAGTCAGTCGACATTCGCGCCTAACCCTCCCGCAGCGTTCGTTTCAGGCACGTAGATGTTGACACGCGTGCCCGGTTGTTATATTCCAATGAATGAACATTCATAACACAGAGGTGTGTAAATTTTTACACCTGATGTAGCCTTTTCACCATCCCCCCCCCCCCTAAAGTATCATCTAATACGATTTTGTACATTTTAGGCATTTGTTTACATCTAGTACGGTCCAGCGAATTAAAATAAATTTAGTTGGTACAGAAACAATAACTTATCCTTTCTCTCACAATCTTGCCCACAAGTTCAATTTAAACTTCAATATTTGATATTTTAAAAATTGTTCGATTTGAAAGGTTAACTGTTAGTAGAAATGATACTTTTCAACCAATGGCGCGTACATTTGCTTCATCCGAGAAAGTTGAGTAAAACATACGACGTTACTCCTTAAAATTCATATAAATTTATCATTATACTTCTTCAGACATAATTTGCATTGTTATCGGATACGACACTGTAATCCCATGATTCCAACGACGAGTAAAATCTCGTGAAAAGTCACGTTTACGTGTCAGTTAACATCACATGCTATAAGAGGGGGTAATTAAGGCCAATTGATAAGAATATATTCCGTACCCTTCCGTGTAGTGAACTTAGTCAACTTAGTAACGTTGTCAATTTACAGTTGCAACATTGCTAAATCATTTTTGCAACTATCTAACACTATTGAAATATATTTCATTTTTCCCAGATATGCTTTTTAAAATTATTGTATGCCACTTATCTGGGACTGCACAAATTGTCTTTAATTACGTTGATACAGATAAAGTCATTGTGTAGGCATAAACATCCGTATCAAAATTTGTCGATCGGCGTATTCGAATAAATTTCAACAATTCAATGTATATTTATATAACTACATTTAAATAAGAAAAAATATTGAGAACTGAGGATATTTTTCTAGTATGTATACACGTATCTCTAAATATTATGTTAAAATTGTTATTGTTGTACAACGAATTGTTTGATAACGATGTTAATGCATTTTAATGATGACATGAGAAAACAAAGGAGTTGTGTGCGATAAAACAGTTTGAATGAAAATGCACAGATAACGTTCACACGTTCTACGAATAATGCGTTTAGCCGCTGTGTCGACAATTATAAATACGATAAAGAATATTCGTTTGCGTAAAATCGAGAGTAGTGTTTGTAAGAATATACTGGAATTCATCGTTTCTAATCGACCGCTATTTATTCGCGCATCATCTTATTCCACGGTTGAAGTAGGATTTTTTAAGACATACTTATTTACCAGTATCATTGTAGTAAATCTAAGTGGAATATTTTGTTGGGCATATATATAGGTGTCGAGTCGTTTGATAGAGGACTGCAAAGAGAATCGAAAAATGATGGAAAAATTGCAATATCCTGAGCCGAGTCGTGATGAAACTGTTGTCGATAATTATCATGGAGTCGAGGTTAGAATAAGGAAGGGATTACTATTTTTATAAAATTTATATTTAAATAAATATTCATACGTATAATTATAAAAGTGAATTAAACGATTTTCTTTTATCATGATATTATTTTATTTTTAGCAACAAATTGTGAAAAATATCATTTCTGTTGGAATATGCAATGTTGTATGTAATTAAAGTTATAATTTCATTCATTAGGTTTCAGACCCATACCGGTGGTTAGAAGACCCAGATTCTGAAAAAACCAAAGCATTTATCGATGCCCAAAATGCCATTACTAAACCATATTTGCAATCATGCAGTGCACGTCAAGATATTTATGATAGATTGAAACAGCTGTGGGATTTCCCAAGATACTCATGTACCGCTAGACATGGGGATAAATACTATTTCAATAAAAATACGGGTTTGCAAAACCAAAGGTAATTGTTGTAATTCCTTGATTGGACTTTAACTTTATGATACATGAATTTATATTTTTCAGTGTTTTATATGTGCAGGATTCACTAGACAGTGAACCAAGAGTATTTTTAGATGTAAATAACTTATCAGTAGATGGTATTGTTGCCATCAGTATTAGTAATTTTAGTGAAGATGGTAGTATTTATGGATATGGATTATCTGAAAGTGGATCTGATTGGTGCACAATTCATTTTATGAATGCAGAAACTGGTACGTTCAACATAGTTTTGTCTATAAATAATCATATGGGTTAAACGTTTTCCTTATCTCATTATGTGAATTATGTTTTTAATTAGGTGAAAAATATCCAGAAGTTTTGGAGAAAGTCAAGTTTTCTCGGATAGCATGGACTCACGATAATCAAGGAATTTTTTATGGTTGCTATCCAGAGCAGACAGGTAAAACTGATGGATCAGAGACAGAAGGTAATAAAAACCATAAGTTGTGCTACCATGTTATTGGAACACCACAATCAGAAGATGTTATTGTAGTTGAATTACCTGAAGAACCTTCATGGAGGATGTAAGTAACACAGTTATGTATACATTAATAGATTGCTGATACATGTGAAAGAAAGTTGTTGACATATACTTCAACTTCTCCACACATATTTTTAGAGGGGCAGAAGTTTCCGATTGTGGGAAGTGGCTGATTGTCACAGTTGTGAAGGACTGCAGAGATAATTTAGTATATTTCACAGAATTGAAATCAGAAACAAAGTTTAATGAAAAATTACAATTAACTCAAGTTGTTGATAAATTCGAAGCTGATTATGAAGTTAGTGATATTATAATGCAATAAATTTTGTCGTTTTGTCTTCGTTATCTCTATAAAATCTGTTTTTCTTCCTTTATTTAGTACATAACAAATGAGGGTACCAAGGCTATATTCTTAACAAATAAAGGTGCACCAAACTACAAACTAATAGCTATAGATTTCATGGATTATAAGGAAGAAAAATGGGTTGACCTCTTACCGGAACATCCAGATAATGTATTAAGTTGGGTCTGCGCAGTTGATGGTGATAAATTTGTAGCTTGTTATATTGAACATGTCAAGGTAAATGCAAATAAATGAAAGTAAAGGTATCGTGATAAAATTAACATTGCAAATTCTTTTTGTTTTCAGAACATATTACAATTACATAGTTTAAAAACCGGCGAGAAACTCAAAACATTTCCACTCGATGTAGGCAAAATAAGCAATTTCACAGGACAGAAAAAGTTCTCTGAAATATTCTACCTGTTTACATCCTTTTTAACTCCTGGTATTATATACAAAGTTGACCTTAAAAAGGATGAAGATCCACAGGTTAGCTCTCCATAAGCCTCAATCCAGATATGACTAACAATAAGAAAGATTTAATAGTTGTATAAAACCATGTATATATAATAATTTTTCCAGATATTACGAGAGATCAAGGTGAAAAACTTTGATGCAAGCTTGTACAAGACTAGTCAAATATTTTACACTAGTAAAGATGGTACAAAGATTCCAATGTTTATTGTAATGAAGCATGTAAGTATTTGTAAGTACCATTGTGATGTATGCGTAGACAGAAACGTGACGGTAACATATGATTTTGTTCAGGATGCAGTTTTAGATAGCTCTATGCCAACTTTATTGTATGGTTACGGAGGGTTTAATATAAGCATTCAACCAGCATTTAGCGTCACCAAACTAGTTTTTGTACAACATTTAAATGGAGCAGTAGCGGTCGCGAATATTCGAGGAGGGGGGTAAGCTAAAGCAATACTTATTACTTATTAACACAAACCGTGTACAGTGCTTCTTATACAAATTGTATCTTATTCTAGTGAATATGGTGAAAGATGGCATAATGCCGGACGGTTCTTTAATAAACAAAATGTATTTGATGATTTTCAAGCCGCTGCTGAATATCTAATCGAAAACCGTTATACTACATCATCAAAGTTAAGCATCATGGGTGGTAGTAATGGGGGACTGTTAGTTGCTGCGTGTGCAAATCAAAGACCCGACCTCTTTGGAACTGTAATTGCCCAAGTTGGGTAAGTCTCTGCAGCATGATCATCAATTTTCATAATCTCTATGGTCATATTTACACTTACAGGGTAATGGATATGTTACGATTTCATAAGTTTACGATTGGTGCTGCTTGGGTATCCGATTATGGCAGTTCCGATGATCCCAAACACTTTGAGAATCTTTTGAAATATTCACCCTTGAATAACGTAAGGGTTCCAGAAAATGGACAATATCCAGCCATGATATTGCTGACTGCAGATCACGATGATCGCGTCGTACCATTGCATAGTCTCAAACTCATAGCAACTTTGCAGCACACACTTGGAAAATTACCACAACAAACAAATCCATTACTTATCAAAATAGATACCAAGGCTGGACATGGTCGTGGAAAACCTACTATGAAAGTGGTTAGTGTTTAATGATTTGAATTATCGTGCCTATTATTGCTTATTATTAATTATTTTTTGTTTCAGATTGAGGAGTGTACAGACATTATAGCGTTTATTGTCAAGTCGTTAAATTTGGAATTCAAATTGTAACACACACGACAGATATCAACATTTTTAAATTTTATACTATGTATAAGTCTTTTTAACGTATTTGAAAACATTTAGCACAATACTGTCCCAGAATACTCTAACATGCTTTCTGGCAAATCACTTTGAAACGAGAATTTCTATGTTACGAAATAAAACCAGTAATCTAATTTACTGCTTTAGGTTTGTGTGTTTTTGGAGATTCGGAAAAGTTAATTTTCCAATTTATATTACTGCTTCTTCATATTTCCCTAGAATAAATAATAACATTGATCTTAATAACGAATGAAATTGGTGTATTAATTTTTTTTTTATTAAATACTAAATAACAAATATACACTTCATTATTGAAGTATGACATTGGTATTTGGTGTCTTATGTGTCTTCTGCATTAAAGAAATAAACAAACATGATAAAATACGATACAAACAATTTAGTTGTTTCATTTTCATGATTTTTTTTAATATGAAATATGGAATTCTGTATAAGATGTAACAGAATGTGTTATTACTTTCTGTATCACAATCGGCGATATTTTAATCTTACAAATAGCATTTTCGGATGTTTAAATTGCAGATTATATAATGTTACATGATTTGTTTACTAATCCATCTATCGAATTACTCAGAGTAAGATGTTTACTATTGCTCTCAATGTCGACGCGGTGAAGTGATAGAGTTGCATTTATGCATCTGGAATACGCAATTAATCTTTTAAATAAGAAATCTCTATTTATTATAATTTTGATTCAGTAAATGTGGAGTCCGGTTATTGATGTTGTAAGTTTATACTTCTAATGATATGGAGTTTCTGTAACATGTCGATATAGCAAAGTTTTATTGCACAATTGTAGTGCGGAAATGTGCGTTTCAATCAATTCGTTGAACAGAGATTTCTTTCTTTTTTTTCGATGAACAGTTACAAAAATTTCGCGATAAACTCACCGCGTTAAAAATAAATATCACTAAAATATACACGCGACAATGAATGTGCGTATATTTGTCGTATATTTTGTAAAAAATTATACCTATACAATTAACGACTAAGGCTCGATAGCTCGTTGATAAAAATCTTTTTATAAAAGCGATGAAAGTTCTGTAATTCTTAACACTACTAACATCACATGTGCAATACCCTGAATGTAATTAATCATGGAACGTGATCGTTCCTTGCTCTTTGCGTAATGGCAAAATGTAAATAACACATTTTGATACCGATTATCGTGGATGATTTTGAATTTTAATTCATAAGTTCGTCACAACATTTGGTGATCTACACCGGTAGTAAACAATGCGGTGAAGAACTGTGAGAACAGTTTGCCCATGTACTGTTCCTCTTTGACTGGCCACACACCTTCCAAGAAACCAATATGGCCGCCACGCGATGTCACCACAACAGCTACCTTTTTGGTTTCTGATATTTCCTTCAGTGGAATTGCTACTCGTGAAATAAAACCAAAAGAAATTAATTTTCTCGAATTATTATATCAGCTGATTAAACATGAAACTACGAGAAGCTAATTCAAACCTTGAACTGGTTGAAATGGGTCATCAGCAGCGCTAAGGCATAATAACGGCACATCAATCAAGTGCAATTTATCATGTATGGTTGCATTAGAATAGTACTCCTCCACGTCTCTGTAGCCAAATTGTTTCACCGTGAAGTGCGAATCAAATTCACGCACGGTTTGACTCTGATACACATACAAAAGATTTTAGTATATAAGAGGAATTCTTTTAAGAAACCAAGATTAGATAGGAAGGACCGTATGTACAGTCATTTTTCATTGTTCACAAACTTGATCTTTAATTATTTAACTGTTTACTAAATAAGTTTTCATTATTTATTGAATATACTGCTTTATTAAGCTTACTTTAAGAAGAGTCTCTATGTCCACATCGAAGAATCCAGCCTCCGTTGCATAATGTAACCGCTGTATATTTTTACGTAAGGTGCCAGCCAAATATTTATTCATCATTAAATTGAAATAATTCTCCTCCGTGTTTTTCGTCGCGGCGAATACGTTCCACGGTACAGAGATTAAGAAACATCCTTTTAGTTTGTTCCTTGCCATTGTTCCTTGTTGTGCTAAATAATTACCTAATATTAATCTGTAAACGCACACATATAAAAAAAAACATTACAAACGTTACTTTCATAATATAATAGTCAGTTAAATTTAAAATCGTGCATTCAAAACAGCGTGAATGAAGAGTATGAATCGCGTGAGACTCGAATCATGTAACACCTTAGTTTTTAAGAGTCAGAGTGGTAGGGATGGTCCTTGAGCGGCCTTGAGCAGTTAATTGACTTCGTTCCGACGCATAGCAATACGGTTCACACGTAGCGAATTTAAAAAGTGATCGCGCGCTCAGTTATCTTATAAGGAATATATTGAAAACTCTAAGGTCATATAATTTATTAATAAAACTGTTAAAAGTTTTCCTAAACGAAGGAACGTGTGCAAGCAGTTTTTATACGCATTGCGCAAGAAAGGCATCATTACCCTCCCATCGATATTCCTGTCGCTCCAACTGGCACATGGGGATAAAGTTTTCTCACATGATCGACGACTTCGGACAGATCGTCGCTGTTCGCAGCGCAATACGTTCGTGGAGTCTAAAAATTCGGTAATCGTTAATGTCAACGATCCGATTTCATTACGCGAGTTAATCGGCTCTCGATCGGTCTACCTTCAATTCCACACCACCCAGGCCTCTGTTATTGAAAATCATGCATCGTATGCCGACTTTCTTCGCGGCCGAGACAAGGCACTTGATGTATTCCGCTTGACTCGCGCCGGTCAGTCCCGGCAATATGATCACGATCGGCGAAGTCACGGAGGATCCTTCCTCCGCCCAGTCCAGGGCCACTTCACCTCCATCCGACAATGTCAGAATTTCTCTGTGCGACAATTGATTAATTAGAACTGGAGGTATAACGGAGCGATAATTAGCTTGCAATCATTTACACCGCGAGACAAGTGTTCATTAATTCCTGTCTGCTCGAGAGAAAACAGAATTTTCTGTCGTGACAGGAAGTAACGGAGTCTAGAGATACGTGCCGTTCGAATAATGGAACGTCACACGAAATTGTATTCCTCAATGGCGATGGAATAAAAATACAAAATACGACAGTGTAACTTTGAACAATTGTACATTCATTCTTTCTGCATTATGAATAATCTATCGTTTCATTAATTATTTCGAATGATCTTCAAAGGACCTTGAAACATATTTTACGTATACGGGTAATGTCTATTAAAAAAAAAAAACATTTTTTATTTTGCTTTTTTTTATACTTATGAAGTTCAAGGTAAACTTACCAACCTGCGATAAACAATAGGCGGCAATATCCGCGACCTAAGAATACTCGCCATAATGGTCTGCGCTCTCGATTCGAAGCACCATAAGGTCGGCCAAAATTTGTTTCTAACGAGTGGTACATGCTCCTCGAGGAATGATCGGAACGGCCCGTTCGCGCATACCAGCATCGGCGTCTGGAAAATGTTTGAGGTTATCATTTTTTGAAACTTCATGCAGACGTGTCCGGGTCATTAACAGGTTCGTGTTAAAATAAAAAAGCTACCGACAGACTGTTGTCTGCACTCACAAAGAACATTTTTAATATTAAATGGCTCCATTGCGCTTCAAACGTAAGGTACATTAACGTACAAAGGTTCAACTTCATTTGAATAAAAAATTCCATATTTAGTATGCTTTCGACGGATACAGTGCCTTACGAGTCAGTTCGCGTTTAATTACGTAGAATCGCGAACAAATTCGGCTTCCACTAGGAGAAAAAGTGGCGTCGGGAAAGAGGTTTCTACCATTTGGTTTCGGAAGTTTCTGATATTTATGCCAAATTAACATGCATTTTAACATTTTCGGTACTTGAAATAAATTTAACAAGTGGTAGGAGGCTCGTCTCCTGCGTCACTTTTTCTCCTAGTGGAAGCCAAGTTTGCTCACGAGTTTACATAATAAATTAAGGCAATTGTACATTGTATTCCTTTTGCGTGATATTTAAAAACGGAGCATAATTTCCGTTTAATAATTTCAAATTCTCCTGTGCCCTATGTTTCATTCATTCTTCTTTTCACGCTTTTCGACGTAGCTTGAAAAATGTTCATGTGAACAAGAACTAAATATAAGAATTTGTTTCATTACGCTACCCGAACTATCTTTATAGGTTAACTGTTCTTGATAGAAAAACCTGTCAAAATAACTAACCTTCCTTTAGATTTACCGTAACAATTCGAATGAAATTCTTCGCGCCGGTCGCGCGAAGAACCTCATTCACCAGTGAATCCGTCTATTCAAACATCCCATTTATTCTTGACTGGGCTTATTCGGTGTATGCGATGTGTTACCTGTTCCGGCCGTTTTGCGTGTGGGTTGCGCGCGCACCAACGGCACCGACGCGCGCGCAATTTGTCCGGGGCGAGTGTGCCTCGTAGTTTTAAGGTCAAATTAATAAATCGTGCATCTCCTCGTGGCTCTCGGTACAGAGACCACGAAGGGCCGTGCGAATGTTTAGAAGTGTTTGTATCACGGAAATCCTGATAATATATCAGTCCGGCAATCTTTGACACGATGCTTAGAAAAATGGACGATAAGAATGAAATAAGAAAACGTTACGAACTTTGGATTTGTCCGATACGCCGTACCCCAGTCGTGCCAATTCACGTTGGAACGAAATCGCGAATGATAATCTCAAGATTCTTTCGTAATAAAGGAAACTTGTCAAGATCATTCTTCTAATAATTCACACGTTTTTTCTCCTATATTTTGTTTAACTTTCTTCGTAATCAAAGTCTGGACTTTTACGGATTTTATTTGCCGTAACTTGCGTCACGTGTGTGAATTAACAATTGGGTTATAAACGGTGAAACGGAACAATGCTGGAATGTAGTTATTCGAAGACGAACAGTAGTTTTACTGGACAAAGAATATTCCCACGTAAGAAATTAAACAGGTTAGACGGTTGGCCTATCGAGAACACATTGGTAATCGCGAGTGAAAATGGTACGACACAAAGTCCGACAATTAATGCTGATAGACATTTAACAAGTATGAAATATAGGGTTATCCGCAGAATGAATTAGCCTTCTTTTTTCCTCTTGAACATCGTGGCAGATATATTGGGAGTCCGGTTCTTAAATTAAAATGTGACGCCCGAAGTGTCAATAACCTTTTATTGTCACGGAAATCACAAAGAGTCAACCGGGTGTGCGAGATTCACGGAGGGAAATGGTTTTTTCTCTCTCTCTCTCTCTCTCTCTCTCCTCGTTCAGATGGTATCTTCAATAGAATCAAGGCAGACTCGATATACGCCTGACTACGAACCAAATGCGGCGTTGATTGAGCTTAACGAAGGTTAAAAGTCTGCGGATAAACGTCTGTGCTCCATGGTCTAATTTAAAATTTTCAATTGCAATTAACAATTCGACATTTCATTCCGACGAAACACAAACATCCACCTCACACGTCTATCGGAACGAAAAAAGCGTCGACGACCTCAGAATTTCGCGCGATTTTTATTTTACCCTAGTTAATCGTACATAGACCAGTTTCTAGAACCACGACCAGTCAATACGCTATAACGTTTCCCTACTTCGAACCAATATTCTAAAAATAAAATAACCAATCCCGTAACAAAAGAAAACGAAACAACACCGTTACTTTCGATCGAAGTTGTGTTTCCAGAAAACTTCAGCAAAACTTCCTACACATCATAAGTAAACCCGTCGCGATAACCGATACACCTTGGGGATGACGCATTGCGTTCTGTCGATTTTATCGATGATTCACACCGGCCGAATTCGTCATGGTCTTCTTCTCATCGGTAAAGTGATTCGTGGTGAATTGTCCTCAAAAATTTCTGAGCTAGATATAATATCGCGATATAAGAGGGAGACAAGATGGGAACAGGTGAGCGATGGTGGCCTCTTACTCACTTTGACAACTTCGAAAAGGTAATACACGCAGAATCCAATGCCCACCAGCGCCCCGTAGTAGACCGTCGGGATGTCAAGGAGTGGCTCGAGCATGTTCAGCATCGTTGTACTCTATCGATACGTCCGCCGCGGGAGACAGAGCAGTGCGGGCCACTGTTACGAGGTGAACCGCGCGCGTCGTTGATATCGCAACACGCACCGCACACCACCACGGTCCGTTGACAATCCTTGCTCGTCGAACGCCGGTAGCCGACAGCCGATCGCAGGAGGCTTTCGGTGGCGAATCCGCGCGTCCGCGCGCATGACGTTCAAATAATTGGACGGCTCAACTAGCCTTACATACTAGCGTTTGTAACGGAGGAGCGCGACCGGTGGTACCGCCGATAGCTACGGCTGCGACTATACAGACGACGCGACAGACGGACAGAACACAGATAGTAAGAGGATAGATACAGTAGGGATTCGGTCGGTCACGTGCGCACTAGTGGATCCGCTCTCACACACTACGCTCCTCTCTGCGGGGATTCATCCCCACGCCGGCCGGCGATACGTGTGTGTATGTGTGTGTGTAGCACCATGCGCCAGTAATACATATGTACAGGCCGTGTGTACATCGTTGGTGTAACGAGCGTGTTACGTAACGGACGACGGCGTGAAGTTTTCTGTTAACTGCCGCCGCCGCTAGTAATGTAGCTGCACTCTTCTTTCGACCAGACGGGGACATCGCGGGAACAGGGTTAAATGCCCGGCATCTCGGGTACAAACGATCGAACCGATAATTTATTATACCACGTGCACACGATTCGGATAAATAACCGGCAGTTGAAAGAATGTTTAGAAACTCGAATACAAGGGGCGTCGGTGCAGGTCGAGAACGATGAGTCGAGATTTTTCGATAACCGTTGGAAAGAAATAGGATGTCTTCGTAATGTACGAATGACTAGGATGATTTCCATGAGTTTGCACATAAACGATCTGTACAATTCCCGTTACTTCGATTGGTCCCCACGTATGTGTGTGTGTATGATTAATGTTGATTCGTGTGACATGTTATCTGATAATCTACGCGAGATTCTTACTTGGCAAAAATCACGGTGGTTTCGAATTCGAACGTTATGACAACGTAGCAGAAACGACAGTGGCACGTGACATGGAATACATCGCTTATTTTTACTTTTAAAATATCGATGACCACGGATTTTAACCCTTATAGTACCTTATAAGTATTCTGGGTACCGTTCAACAATATCTTGAAAAATATGCGATTTTTAAGGATATCTATTAAAGAATCTTTAAATGTCCCCCATATTACTGGATCTCATGCTTCGTCTTCCCGGAATGTCACGTGAACACCCAGATACATTTGCAGTTAACACCGTGGCAAAGATCACTATCTGCCCGAGCGAACATGAATTTAGTATGCAAATCAATGGATCACATTGTAAATTTTGTCGCGAGACGGGTTTCTGCTGAAGTTGTCATTTTCAATGCTTACCTAATAGTTATCGTCCCGTATCCAGTAAGTTCTATGATTCCTTGCATCAGTACTGTGTAATTGGCGGAACTTGATAATGTTCCGTTAATTTACCGCTAACTGTATATATACGTTCGTCATTATTAGGTAGAACAACAGGCTCTCGTAGAATTATTACTGTCCAATTAAATTCAGTCGATTGAGAGACTATTCGTTTCCATTGTAGACGAATTTTTAACAGTTTAAGAAAGATGGCGAACCACAGGACTGAATATTGTCATAAGCGTATTACGTTACAGATATGAAAAACAAAAAGTAAAAGGCATATTATGCCATTGACTCATTGTAATCATGCATTTAGGCGTCAATACAAAAATTGCAAGTATATAGTAAACAATAATTGTTTTGTCTTGAAAATAGAACAAATATTGTTCTGTTTAGTGTATCTTATTTTACAAAAATTGATTCCCTTAATTTTCCCTGAAAGATCCGAAAAGGAAATTTAAATTATTGAACATAGTTCATATTTGAATTTAATAGTATACAACAATTTAAATTTAAATATAAATTGACACAATGGAAATTTGTGCGAGATGATGTTACATATACATGTACCAAGAAAAATGACTCCTTTATTAAACACAGTCTTATACATTTCGTGGACAATAATGAAATTTTATCAACGTCCGACTTCGATCGCGTTGATCTTGTAAGCGGCAGCGAGAGTGGAAATCTGATTCATATACTCCGCTACGCAGCGTCAGACGGATAGACGTGTATTAGGTTCTACGGCCAACTAAGGCAGAAGAGACTTTGACCGTTCAAGGTCATTCAACTCGTCATTGCCACTTTTAACCATTCCTAACCTAATCGCTACAGGTGTACACTGTTGCACCTTAAAGTAAATTAAAACGGAAAAATAAAAGGTATTCGTGATTCACAGGGGAAACTTCAGCACCTCGAGAATTTTCGATTTTTTTTTAAACTCCGCAGGTTTCTACGAGATCTTCATAGAAACATTGGGCAATCTCTCATTTTTGCTAATATTCGATTCTTCAGGTGGATAGTAGTAGTCCTTAAAGGTTAATGTGTCTTTCTATTTTCCTGTATACCTTAAAAATTATAGTAGATATCAAAACACGTTACAATAAAAATTTAACAACTTCTTATGCTCTATAAAAGTGCGTAATGAAATTGTTAAACATTTATTTTATAAATAAATAAATCAATAAACAAAAAAATTTTTTTTACAATTTTATTACGTGGTTTTGTAGAGCATAAGAAACCGTTCTATTTTCATTTTAACCGTTTTGTGATATCTACTACAGTTTTCAAGATATACAGGAAAAGACACATTAACTCTTGAGGGTTGATTTAGACCTGAAGAATCGAGTAACAGTAAAACTAAAAACTGTACGATGCTTCTACTGAGATCCCCTAGAATTCGAGAAAAAAAAATCTAAAATTTTCGGGGTATCGTAGTTCCCTTGTCGGACCAATCTACGTCATGTATCTCTCGAGTGTTGAGTCACGTGTCATAATGGAAGAGTAAAATACGTTCAAAAAGATGCAGAACATAAAGAAAACGACCTTGGACAGCTAAAGCCGTAAAATACCCACGTTAAATGTTCCCCCACCCATGATAGCTTTGGCACCAGAATCAAGTTCAACACTGTTTTATTTGAGAGGCTGATAGAAAATCCATGGATACTTTATCAAGCACCTTATTTACACAGAGACATAGAGACACGCCGCTAGAGAACACTTTCTGGTTGGATTAAGGACAGTGTACCATTCGAAAAGTAATGTAAGTATACACATCCGCAAGGAGAACCCTCGGAGGAGACAAACATTTCTTGGTGAATCTCAGTGATTAGTAAACTAATTGGTTAAGAAATAAACTTGGGTCATTGAAAGTATCTCGATCCCTATTAGAATGATATGGAATTAATCACTATATTTATTAGTATGTTACTCTATGTCACCGTCTTCAATCCCCTTAACTGTACGAAGTATACCGTAATTCCTCGATAAATGCGACACGAGCAACGGCGTTATTCCCACCTCTAAGGGAGTTCCCCTGTAGAATTAATCAAAACAGAGTAAACGGGAAGCTAAGCAGAGGCTCGGCTTCGGGCAACCAAAAACAAATTTGTGAGGGGGCTGAAAACCTTTCCGTCCCGCCATGAATGCTCCGAAGTGGACCCGAGTACGCCGCACTCATCGAGACATTACTGTATTTATTATTATATTTTGCAACAGACTTAAACGTAAGCCTTGACAACAAAAAAGTGCATAAAGTCCCTTGAAATGATTCATTTGGTTCCAATGAGGAACATAGTTTAAGGACAAACATACTGAACGATAACTAAATAAATATACAATAAAGAATATTACGAACGAACAATATATAATATAGGATTGGTTAACCCTTGATTGGTTAGAGGAAATGCAATTTTTGTTCTACAGGCTACCTTCATTTTAATGAACTTGGGAGTTGCGGAGTGGTTAGGGCATTTAAATTCCTGTACGAACAAATTTCACATGCACAGGGTGAGTTAATGAGAACTACCATCTAAAACAAATCATTACCTATTAGTTGTATCAAAAAACGTTTTAATGAATTATATAACATTTTAAGGAACGCATCGGATGGATACAATTTTATATCTTTTTTTATTATAGATATTAAGGTGACCTAGAATTTTTCAAGGTCAATGAATCTTTTTCTTAATACCATCATAATATATGTTGAATTCGTCGTTCCATTGGCAACAACATGGCATTTAAAAAAACGAAGCATTGACTCAAAACTCAAGGTTACCATATTTTGAAAAAAATAAGATATAAATAAAATTAAATTCTACCCATCCGATGCACCCCTTAAAATGCTACATAATTCATCAAAAAGGTTTTCTGATACAATCAATAGGTAACGAGTTATTTTAGCTAGTAGTTCTTATCGACTCACCTAGTATGTAACAAACTTTGCTCTCACTTTACCAGACGAGGGCCGACGACGTCCAGTGTTCACCAATGGAAGATATACACCTGGCGAAGGTTCGTAGCCTTGTGTAACAGACACTCGCCATATAAAGCAACACGAGAATAATAGTTTAGGCTTACATGAGCATGCAAGAATCTTGTTATTTGGGTTGTTACACGTGAAGTGGAGGACATTTTACCGACAGTTTATATCGTATATTTCGAACTTGAAAGTGAATTTTCCGCAGCTGAGATAATTTCACTTAAGTTTACAAAAACACAATCTGATGTCTCTTTCCAGTTCAAAAATAATAGTTCGATAAATATTAAACAATTTTTCGACTGCGATTTCATTGGTAAAATAAATATCGGTGAAATCAATTACTTCAGATGCAACAACCAACCGAACGATTGTTAATCACGCCGTGCTTACACGAGTTAGCGACTCCGTGTCATATAATGCAGAATTTGCACTAGTTTCAACATCCGAAAACTTCGTAACTTCTTCGTCGATTCAAGAACTTCCCAACCGGCTGGACACCAAAATACTTTATCCATCATCTTTTCACGTTTCCTCCTTTGTCGTTTACAATTGGAACTTTCTCGTCTTCATTTAGATTTTAAGTTTCAAGAATTATGTAAGGGCTGCTTTATAACTTAATTTATACCGTGTAAGATTATAAATAACCGCTTCTGCGCAGAGAAAAATGAAACGACAAAGTGTACGATCGCGTGACAAATTGAACCGCCCAGCATCATTAACATCATGTCCATCCTTAATTCCGAACACTATATGGTAACGACACGCACAGGGAAGATTACACCCTTAACTTATATACAAAATGCTCGGCGAGACGAGCTTGCATACAAAAAAAAAAAAATAATTTCAACATCCTGACGTCTCTTGCGTGGTCTATTATCGGTGCACCTTAATCCTACTAGTCTACAAAAATCAAGTCATACACACACGATGGAAGCAAGGGGATCACATCTTATACAAGGGTTGTCTGCGACAAATTTCTGTACAAACTTTGCCAGCGTGTTCTAGGTAACAATAATACTGTACGCCGTTTCTCAATTTGACTTTCAGCACCGATTTTTCCGTGGATCGATATGACAAAATATTGTTGAATCGCAAAAAAAATCTTTTTTCCCAGTACAAAACCTACTCACGTAGGTATTATAATTACTCGTTCCTAGAACTATCCACCTCATCCAACGAGTGAAGTCAGTAACTATAAACACAGGGAGATGATAGCCATTTAGGTAACAGAGAGGGACAGAGACAGTTGCCAGCCAATAGCATCTCGTTAGACCAGTGTTTCCCAACCTATTTTGGATCATGACCCACCTCAACGCCTCAAAGATCTCGTCGTTCTCCTAGTATAGTAGGAAAAAACCAAGTTCTGAAGAAGTTTAACATCAGTAGTTGCTTCAAATAAAGAAAGTACATAGACGAGAAAACTGTTATCGATGGAGATAACCGAATGTCAATGATTTGCTAATTGCCCCTCGATGGGGCGTACGTCCCACGTTAGGAAACACTGCGCTAGACAGACAATAGAGCCCCAATTATCGCGAGTTTACTGTAACTGACGCTCACAAATCTCATGAATCCAGTTTCACGCTTACAAGATACCATCATCCTATTTCTAACAGTACAATAACGCCGGCAAAGTTTGTAGAAAATTAATCTCCCATACATTCTACGCTCAAGACAGAGAGAGAGAGACATGTCTTATAATATAATAAATACACGATAATAGCCGCGAGATAGCGCCACTCGCGAATTCCATCGTCGAACGTATATGTACGATAAGGTACGTTTCCAGTGACAGTGAATCGTGATTTTTGCAGTCATGACACACTAAATGTTTATGACTTCTGTCGTCGTGAAAACTAGATGTCGTTGTTGTCATGACATTGGGTTTACAATTGTCATAACAGTGTCACGACAACGGAATGTCATGACTTTTATACTGTCACATGAAAATGTGCCTTTAGAGCTCGGCTCCGTGTCCGCGTACATTGTCGTGATAGGGATGCAACAGGGGATGTTGAAATTTCTTCGCTCTATATCATGAGCTACGAGGGCAACTAGACTCACGAACGTATTTTGCCCAGGTGCGCGTCGGGGTCATGTCGCCTTTCCGTAATCGTCGTTGATCGTTGCTGGTCGCCTGGTCGACAATGTTCCGATACGTCTCCTCGTCGTACGTGCAGGTTAGACTCTTTCGTAATTTCACGGCTCCAGCCTCGAAGCTTGCCGGCTGGCTGCCTACAAGCACGTGTAGATCGTTCTTAACCTGGACCGCCCAGTCCCACATGTCAGCTATCGAGCAGTTGCAAACAAACGGATTGCCCAACAGGTTGACCGACACCAGACGCGGATTCGCCTTGAATGCCTTCGGGTTGATGGTGCCCAGGTTGTTGTTGCTGAGATCCAAGTGCTCCAGGCTCTGTAGCTTCTTCAGACAGGCGAGATTCTCCGAGCCGGAGATATTATTGCCCGAGAGATTCAGCTGGGTGATGCGTTTGGTATTGGCGAACAGATTCTTGTTCAGATGCAACAGATCGCAACTGCTGAGATCGAGAAGTTCCAGATTCGACAGCTGCGTCGGTAGAAGTGCACCGTCCGCGGGTACCTCAAGCGGATTCCCACTGAGCTTCAGCTCGATTATGTCCGTGTTCACGCGATCGCCGAACACCTTCGGATCAATGGGAGTCTTCAGATCGCAGTTGTTCAATTCCAAAGTCTCCAGTCGTGTCAGATTGGCGAACAGACCTTCCTCCAATGTGTGAAGTTTATTCCCTGATAGTACCAGCTTCTTGAGGAAGTTCATGTGAGCGAACGTAGCAGGCTGACGAACGCGTCTGACAATGGATTGTGCGAGATGTCGAGCTCCTCCAGGTGCTCGAATGCGTCGAACGCGTTCGGTAAACGTCTTAGGCTGCAGTTGCTCAGCGAGAGCTTGTGCAGTTTTGGCAGATGACGCAGCACGGCGGTGAAGTCGGCCGCGAACATGGGATTGCCGCTTAGGTTCAGAACACGAAGTTTGCTCGCGTTACGGAACGCTTCTTCGGATAGTCGATCCTGGAGGTTGCAGTTCGATAGATCCAGGGATTGGAGGCTGTGCAGATTGTGACCCAGAGTGTTGCCGACGTCCAGATGCCATAGCTCGTTGTCAGCTAAGACCAGCTGACGAAGATAGAGATTCTTCGCGAAAGCGTCACCGGGTAGATTGGTGATGCCCGTTTTACGGATGTCCAGGTGCTCCAGACGGATCAACGGAGCGAGCATGGTGGTCCAACTGACAGTACGGAGATCGTTTCCCGACATCTCGAGTTCCCGTAGATTCTCCAGATGGGCGAACGCGTCCGAGGACACGTGCGTCAGATTGCAGGAGTTTAGCTTCAGATACTCGAGATTGGTCAGATGGTCGAACGGACCCGGCTCGATTCTGTCCAACGGATTGTGGGACAGATCGAGCTTGTTCAGGTTCGTCGTGTTGTGGAAGAATTGCGTGTTCAGCCGGCGGATACCGCACGAGTTCAGATCGAGGTAGAGCAAGGTCCGACAGTTCAAGAAGTGACCCTCGACCTCGTCCAACGGGTTGTTCTGTAGCTCCAGCGTGATTAGACCCGGGTTATCCCTGTTGGAAGGATCGAGACCCGGTCATAACAGTGGTCGTGTGTTCGTGGCGTTCAAAATTGCTTTGTTGCGATAGGCTAGCTTTTGCGGATGGGTTTGGATGATTTTTCTAATGGGTCAGCCTTTGGGACCAATAACGAGCGTTTAAAGGAATATGGTGTCCAATTCGTTGTTATTGAACCGAGTACTTCACGATGGACAGCAACATTTTTAGTTTTTCAGTGAATCCACGATACGTAATATAGAAAAGTAGGATAAAATTTCATTTTTCAATGGTATGGATAACGTATTCTATACGCATATTTTGTTGTATTTTGCTTGGGAATGGAATGGGGAAAGTAAGAATGAGTTAGTAGGACGCATCAACAGGTGGACTAATAGTGAGACAATATTGTAATAAATATGTGACAATATGTGACTAATTCATGCGTAAACGTGAAGCGAAAGCTATATAATTTTGTCGATGTTCATTTATTTTGCATGAACCTGTATTACGACTAAAAAACAATTTGCGTATGAAAATAAAGTCATTTGAATTATGCGAAGAAAGTTTAATTTCTGTAATATTAAAAAAGTTTATTTCAAAATCTTGATTAATCAGTAAGAAAATTCAAGTCAAAGGTTGTATTATTCTCCTGATGTTAAAGTTATTCGAAGGTCATTGGTATTTTCTTGAATGGAATTATGTAGTTTCAACTTCATAGCGTTGTAGCTGATGTCGCAACGAGTTCAACGACCTAGTATACTTACTATGGCATTTAATGAGTACTAGAGTACTATACGCCCCCTAAAGTCTTAGACTGTTTTTCTGAACACCCTCTATAAATGAATGAAATAACCAACACTATACATGGTGTCTAGTTTAAGTATGGCTCCCAATATCTTTTTTAATTGCACAAACGCAAAAAATATTTTATACGTAATTTAAATGCTATTAAATGGTTAGTATCCTACAAGCATTGCTTTTTTTTCTCGAAATGTTCAAGGTCATGGATGTTCTTTTTTCAAATAACTACAGACCATTTAAAGGTCATATCATAATTCATATCTGAATATATTTTTTCATGAGCTACGTGATGCAATAGGAAACAATATGTAGCTATTTGTAAAAAAACACCGATGACCCTAAAATCCTCGATAAAAAAACATTTGAAAAAAAAAACAACTCCTGCAGGATACTGACCATTTAATACCATTCAAATTACGCATAAAATATTTTTTGCACTTTCAAAATGAAAAAAAGACATTTGAGGAGTCACTCTTAAATGAGCCACCCTGTATAAATTGCTTCAATCTGGTCAAATGATTTTTGCTGCATGTAACTGTGCGACATACGATCCGACCAGTAAGAATTATTCGATCTGCTTGTACTATACACACAGATCTCCCTACAAGTACGTTTTTTAGTGCCAACACGATAATGAAAAACATTAAACGATAAATTTTTATTTGCATACGACGTGGGTAAATGATATAACCGATGAAAACGATCCGAACGGTTGGATTTGAAAGTTGCTTTACCTGAACGCCTCGGGATCGACGCGAGTGATCGCGTTCGACGAGAAATCCGCCTCGAGCAGGTAAGTCAGCTCGGCGAACGACTCGTATTTGAGCTCGGTCAATCGATTGTGAGCCATCTGTAGACGCCTCAGCTTGATTGAACTCGGAAACGGCAGGACCCGCGCGATGTTGTTGCCATTCATGTCCAGGATGTAGACATTTGGGCTGAGCTCGTCGTAAGGGATGCTCGTCAAATTGCTCTCAGAACAGTCGGTTACCCAGTTGATGCGAAAATAATGACAGTGACAGTCCACCGGGCACTCTTGCTCCACCAATTCGCCGTTATAGGCAATGGTGGACGTCGTTAGACCGGCTACCATCAACAGCAGCAGCCCCACCATCTTGACAGACCCTCGCGGATATATCTGCGGAGATAAATGAATAGAGGGGTGTAAACATAAAACGAAAGAAGAAAAGTGATCCGAAACAACCGTCTTCTTAAATCGAATTTTCTTTTATAGTGTGGACTCTTACGATATTGCCACAGCCGAGGTTGTGGGAGAGTAAAACGGCAATGCGTCGAGAGCCTTCTCGAAACTACGTCCTATCGTCGTAACACTGGCCCCAGCGCATGCACAAGAGCTGCATCGTGCTCTGGTGAGGACGTACGCAACGTGGTGGGAGAGCGAATTTATGTGTGCGTGAAAGTACGTGTGGAGGGGAAGGTGCCTCGCATGTGGCAATGGGCCAAGTGACAATAATATCGTAAGAGTCCACTGTACTTCGTTTGAATTACAGTTTCAAACGAAAGAAAAGGCATCAGGCGCTAACACGATGCGAAAGACGAGAGACAAATCACTCGAGGGAACAACTGCTGTCTCATCCGCGCAATGTGCAAATTAATGGATGAATCGTGGTTATGTATATGGAAGAAAAAAGATGGAGAAAAATGCTGAACTCGCGGTTTACTTGGAACCGTTGCGACGCGACGATGCACATCGCGATGGCATTGCCAACAGGATAACTGGCGAGTATACACTAATGGCTGAACACAAGTGGAGCAATTGTCAGTTAGAAATGGACCTAGCAATTGGCGGTCGGTAATTTCCGTGCAACAATGCACGGCGCTACAGGTCGTTGGGCCGGAATCCTCGATGGTTTACGTAAACCAGCCAAACAATACTTCTTTGTGTTGCTTTTGAATGCTTAGCGAAAAGAAACGGTATTTAAAAGATACCTTTCATTCGCTGAGTAGTCATTAGTATCGTTATATTTATTAAGTAACCTTAAGGAGATACATCGCCATAGGTGCACCGGAAATACATACTTATTTTCCCCGTGAAAACAGTACAAGTTTCACGTGAACTGATTTATTCGAATCATACAAACCAATGAATAGACACTTAAGGGATTTTGTAATTATTGAAGTCGAATTTTAAATGATCATAACATTAATAAATACTTGACACCTGAAAATTACATTTTTTTAATATCTGAATGTTTTCATAATGTATAGATTTCAGTATAGAAAATTAGAAAAATGTATTAATTAAATCAAAAAGAAAAAAAATACAGATTTCACTAGTGAATGAACGATATTAAAAAAATGAACATTTCTAAGCAATGATACGAAAATTGTTTGAATATGAAACAAGCAATTGAAGAAAATCAATATTTAATCATTGTTTATTTGAATAACTTCATGTACTCATTTTTATATGTATATAATGTTCATTCACTGGTACTCATTCGTAATCTACATCGATATTCGTTACCGTCTATCAAACGTTTTGCTCGAGAAAAAAAATTCGAATTTTCGTAAAATTTCGTCGTTCCTCCATCTCTCAGAAAAATGAAATCCCTTAAAACCAACAAGACGAGTAGCGAACGAATATTCGATCCGATAATTTTGTGTAAATTAACGGTAATCGGTTGAAATTCAAAATAATCAAACCATAAAAAGACATTTGGACGGAAGGCGAATTATTCATCCCGTTCGCAATACAACGAACGCATATCCCCTACCCCCTACCTATTTACCATCGGTCCACTGATCAAAACACGCGCATGGCTAATGGAAGTAATTTGTACGTATTAAATTCCGAGCACAATCATCTTCGTTACAGCGATGAATAACATTCAAGGGTGTTTTCAAATTGGCCAACGGGTGGTCGTCACCGACGCACACAAAGAAAACCGGGGCAACGCCTCTGGCCAGTAGTCAACATCGCAGACGGAGGGGGCTGCTGGCTCGACGGAAGGCTTTTCCGCCAGAATGCCACGCGTTCTACGCTCCACTGGCCCCTTCAAGCTTTCCCCGCATACATACAGTTGTTCGCCTTCGGCCTGGACCATTACTATCCGCTCCTAAAAGCCCGAGAATAGGGAACGGAGAACGCGCGACGATGGTGTATTTTCCCCCCCTTTCGATTCCTCGTTGTATTTCTCCCTTATGGCGCGACGGTGCGTGGCGGGAGGGGGGAGGATCGAGTCATTCGCATTCAGACACCGACCGAGAGACATTCATACTTTTTGCAAACATCGTTCTTCTTTATATTCGCGCCACCTTTCGCGCCTGGGATCTCAAACCATCGGGGTGTTTGAGGATGCTATGAAGCAGAATCTACGCGAAATCCCCACTCTTTTTCGTTAGACGAAGCGATTCGGTTTTCTTTTCTTCTCGAACCCCGCTTACCACGCCCCTTACTGTCGTACGAGTTTATCTACGTCCTACGCGTCACGGGGTGTTCTTTTTTAACGGCTTCTTTATCCCGTCTGAGTCGGTAACAGAGGCTTCTCAAACGGCGCGATATTAAAAATCATGCTGCAGTTCGTAACCGATTCTGCGGGAACGGTTATAAGTACGCTCTAATATGTACGCATGAGATAGACGATTATGTAAAGCGTGATATGGTACGCTAATACAGTGGGGTACAAAATTATGGTAGTAGTTTACAATTCGGTCGGTATCTCAGATTTTTTTCAAACTTTAAAAAAGGGGTTCTCTAAAAAGGCAAAATATCATTGTAAAGAATGTTGCAAACAATTATAAGTACTTTTAAGTACCAAGGCTAGACGATTATTAGTATACATTTTTTTTATTAAACTAGCTGTAACCAACTCTGATCAGTATAATGCTTTGAAAATAAACAATTGAACCTCTTTTTTACTCTTTACAGCTTATCCTTTCACTTAACTTGCATTTATTGTGACGTTTAGGTTAGGTTTCAGTTACAAATTTAATTTCAAATTAAAGGTACTTAGAATTGTTGCGACATTTTTTAAAATGATATTTTGGCTTTTTAGGGAGCCCCTTTTAACATATTAAAGTTTGAAAAAAATCGGAGATATCTACCGAATTGTCAATTATTGCCAAAATTATTTGTACAATTCGTATATCGCACGTAGGATAAATGTATCAGCAGTAATTCACTTTGATTCTGCGTATTCATTATCATCCAACGATTATACGAATATACGTATAAGGTACGAATATATTCATATTTCCGTACGATAAATTGTACAGAAAATACACGATTCTTTTTACCAGCCAGTATTTTTTACCGTACGAATACTTTTGTCACCCACTGTACATGTATGACAGTTCGTAATTGCAATTACATTTCACTGCACGTCACGAGTTGGTACAAAGTCCTCATTGTCAATATTCTTTAACGTATTCATTACGAATAAATTTCAAATCGTAGTCGTTTTTTTTCTTCTTGATAATGCACATAGTACTATACATAACAGTGAAAAAAAAACATTAAAGATCGTTTGGCATGCGCGCAAACGATAATCGATATTTAGATCGTTAATGTATCGATATTTCGAATACTCTAGAAATCGATTACTATCTATTGTTCACAGTAGCATTTGTTCATCCGTGACAATTAACGGCCAGTGATCTTGAACTGTTCTAATTTCTCGTACTTAACAACCGTAAGCTACATCGCAATCAAAAATAAATAAAATGCAACAATGAATATTCCAACAACGGTTAACGCAGTACTCTGACACGAGCACCATACAACACTAGGTTTATAAAAAGCTTCTCGGGTCGCGAAATGGCCTGCATCGAAATCAGTCTCTCAAAAGTATTTTAAAGAGAACCCCACATTACCGACGTTAGCCACACAATTACGTTTACGTACGAAATCCGAACATTGTTCACTATGTGTTGTTTCACAAATTACAGTAAAATACTGTAGTTAATATAAATAGGACTAGTGAATAATTTGTTCATTAGTCAACCGCCACTCGAATGCATGCCCAAATTCCATTCACTTGTAAATGTTATTCTACATTTTCGGTATAATATTTGCACGTAAAATCCTTTAGATCCCGAAAGTGTCACGATTTACTGTACATATTCTTTATACAGACACGAGGTAGTTATACAAACATTCAGAAGAATGTTTACTGTACGAACATCACAAGCTAATACAATCACCGCGAAAAATATTTCATTGTCGCGTGTGTAGTCGATTCCGATCGAGCCGTATCACTATTCTCATACTCGTCGCGTTCGTAAATTGTTCTATTAAAACTGAATAACTCCAAGTTACGTACCGGAAAGGTGTATCCTTATTTTCCTGCCGTGTAGCAAGGTTAAATCGTGAAAATGTTCCGTGGATTCTGAATGTGGCACTGGACAAAGATAGATTGAACTGTTGAGTTTGCTGGGACCCGGTTAAATTAAACCGTGTACGTCCGACCGAGGTCAGGGTAAAACCTACTGACGCGCACTCTCGTTCTTTCTGCGTCGCATTAGTCTCGCGACGCACGTCTTTACGGGGTGTTGTTTCCCTCCCTCCTTTTCTCTTGCACACGCACGATCACACACACACGTATGCACTGTAATTCGTACCCCCGTGTAGTTTACCGCTGAAATTCATTGGTCGGTGGAAGAAAACTTGGGCGAATTAAAATATCGTCCGAAACCTATCACCCTAACCTCCTCGTACTTTGAAAAACAGAAATTATCAAGTTGCTCTTTTCCAACATATCAATGAAGACTTAATCGATTTACAAAGTTTAACGTCCGATTATGATTCATCGCGATTGCGTTATTCAATTTTTGGTATTACATTATTAAGTCGAAAATGGTTAAGACGATACGATCTCAAGAAATGTGTGTACACAACAAACGCATGCGCGATTAAACTAACCCTCCTGAAAGACACGTTACACTTGTTATATGCGACATGGAATTGCATTTATGTAACTTATATTCCTTTCGGTCATATCGGTAAAAATGATCGCGAATCAGATGGTCGTTTGAATAAATTTAATACACGGAATTTAATAATATCGCGATCATGATTCTTGTCACGTCTAACACGTGTTTATTGATTATTCAGTATCTGCGTAAATTTTCAGCACACGGGTGTTAGAAGAT